AAGAAAAGAAGAGCTTAGATTGGTCCCAGATAAAATAATTTTGTTATCAACATTAATACATTATGCTAATTATCATCTTTGTAAGCGCATAAGACAGTGCAAATTATTTCTGTGACAGTCTTTTGAAGTGTGTAAAGCTCCATTTTATCGCATACATAGTCAAAATATTGGGGGGGGGTGATTCAATGGACCATCCCCCCTTGTCAAATATTGGGGGGGGATATATCCCCTCCATCCCCCCGGGATCTACGCCTATGATCCCGCACCTCCAATAAGTTCCAAATCTGCCAGTACACTTTGTCCGTTCGGCTCAATCCAGCCATTTCCTCCCATGGCGGCTGTGGCCCGCCTTGTTCCTTGATTTTTATAACTCTCTGCATTGAATTATCTTCCAGTTGGGCTTTACGAATGTCATCGAGGTGAGTGTTTTTATGTATTTGTACCGCTCGTACAGAAGCATTAGTTCCTGATGAATCTAATGGTGGTTCTATTTCGACCTCTACTCCTGCCCAGGCTTCTTTCTTCTTCTGCTGTTATCTGCGGTCTTTCCGCATTGTCCACATGGTTTCCTTGATAGCCCATCAGCGTTCCCATGTTTTAGTCCGGGCCGGTAGACCACTTCAAAATCATACTCTCCTATCGCCTGTAGCTATCTCGCTAGCTGTCCTTCTGGCTCCTTGAAATTCGTCAGCCAGCGCAATGACGCATGATCGGTCCTGATCACAATATGGCGTCCATAAAGATACTGGCGATGGTGCCTTAAGTACACTACCACAGGCTAATCCTAAGAAACTGCGTACTTCTCTGAGGCATTCCTTTATGGCTTCAATTTTAGCCGGGTCAGTCATCACTCCAGCATGCGAAACTCGATGCCCTAGATACAAGACTTCCTGTTTAAACAGGGTGCACTTATTTGGTTTCAATTTTAGGCCTGCTCCTCGTAATCGAACAAAGACTTTCCTAAGGCGGTTGATATTCTCCTCTACAGTTTTCCCATACACGGTTATGTCATCTAAATACACCAGTAGTATATCCCATTGCAATCCAGATAAATCGTGTTCCATCAGTCTCTCAAATGTTGATGGAGCGTTACACAACCCAAACTGCATTACCTTCCAAGAATACAGGCCCCCACGCACTACAAATGCTGATTTATCTTTCGCCTCGGCATCTAATTCAACTTACCAATATCCTGAGGCGAGGTCCAAGGTGGAAAACCACCTGGCTCCTGAAAGTGCGTCAAGTGAATCGTTTATCCTAGGTATGGGGTAGGCATCTTTTATGGTAACTGAATTCAAACGTCTGTAATCCACGCAAAAGCGCTTCGTCCCGTCCTTTTTCGTGACCAAGACAACATTTGATGCCCATGGGCTCTCCGAATGCTCAATCAGGCCTCTGTCTAACAGGTCCTGCACTTGCTGGTTTATCTGTTCACTGGCCTCCGTCGTCTGGCGCCGGGGTTGTTCCTTATTTGGTTGTGCCGTTCCAACATTTATGTGGTGTTTTACTTCGCCAGTTCTCCCTAAAACGTAATCTCCTCTAGAAAACAAATCTTGAAATTCAGCCAAAAGTGATGCAACTTGTTCGTGGTATTTTCCGTCAATGGATGCCACGCTCCGCTGCAAAAGATTACTAAGGTGCTCGGGTACTCGTCTGCTGCTAACAGGCGGCTCCTTCCTATGTGTAGATTCGATTTGGTCTTCTAATATTGGTGTTAGCTTGCCAATTGTGGTTCCCTCTCGAAGGACTCGTCGTTCTTTACCGGGGTTAAAAACGCGTAACGGCAGTTGTCCGTCTTCAACCTTCACTACTGTCCTTGCTAGAATTAGGCCATTCTTAGCCAGCTCTTCTTCTTGGTTAGGTTCCACTATTCCTACTACCGGACAGCTCGTCAACATTCGGGCGAATCCGGTAAGTATGTGTTCATGACCTGGTAGGATCACAGTTGTATCTTCTATAATCACGTTCGAATTGAACTTGGTACCTTTGGGTCCAGTTAAGCTAGTTGATTCCTTTCCGATTTTCATCTGGAGTTTCCCCAGGTCCAATAACGATCCACTTGATGTGAGAACATCCATCCCTAGTAATCCAGACACTTTTAAATTTGCAAAGATTACTCGAACCGATTGAAATGTCTGACCAATCTGTAGTCCTACGTAGGCACACCCTATGGTCTCTAGTGAGTTCCCATCTGCTTGTTGAAGGTTCATCTTTGCTCTCTGAAGTTCTGGACGTTTTTCTTTGGGTAATTGGTAATATAAATTGGAGAACAAGACTGTGTCGGAGGCTCCTGTGTCGACTAGTAGGTTAGCCTTAATTCCATTAACTTTAGTTGATACATACAATCCTTCTCTTGGGCTGTATTGTGAGTATGTCCTTTTTTTTCTCTGGCTGATTTATTGTGTCGTTGAAGGGGTTCTTCCGCTTCCTTGAGTATTTGATGGGTCCTCGGTTCGTTCCAGCCTTCTCCCGACCCATGGATCGGCTGCACGTCGTTTCCCGATTGACGTGTGTAATTTTTCGGGCAGCGTCGAGCAATGTGTCCCTCCAGTCTGCAATTATAACATACCAGTCTTCTCCTCTGTTGCCACATTTTGCCGTCCTGCCCAGCTGGGGTTTCGGGTACTGACGTCGCCTGTTTTGAATGCAGGTTTCCCTCTATACGTCTCATCCAATCTGCTATTTTTTTCTTAAAGGCCACCTGCCTTGAATTTTCCTCCGGTATAAGCGGTCTAACATACTTCATAGGCTGTCTAGGGGGTCTTTCATCCTCCTATTTTAAGAAACTCTCTGTGGATAACGCTGCACGTATGGCTTCGTCTAGAGTGGAAGGTGCCGCTCGGAAGATCCCTTCTCTTATTTCCGGTCTTCCTACTGCCTCCATATAGTGCCCCTTCCCTAAGCGTTCCACTCCGGCCTCGTCAAATTCGGGATATGCCAGGTATGCCAACTCTCGAACAGCTTGTCCTAGCTCTTGAAGGCTCTCCTTAGGTCCTTGTCTCCTTAATCGTAATGACATTAGGTGGTTTTCTGCTTTCCGCCCGGGTCCAAATCGTTGCTCTAAAGCAACAAGTAATTCTGTGTAAGTGCTTTCCCGTCCTTGGCTAGCCCCCAGAACTGTCAGTGCCTGCCCCTTCAGGCTAGCCTTCAAGAATGCTCCTGCCTGCTTGTCAGACCATGCATTCGCTGATTTACATGCTTCAAAATGTTGGGCGTAGTTCCTCCATGGCGTCTTCCCTTCGTACCTATCTGGAGTAATTATCGGTTTTCGAAAATCGCTGCCAAATCTCAGAGAAAACGCTTCCTCGCCAACTACCCTTGGCTCCCTAGTTAAGGGTCATGGCAATCAGGATGATGTTTGGGGTTCCGTCTGTGTCGTCCCTCTCTTTTCAGTCGACTGGGCCATTAGTGGTCCAACCGAAGGTAGGCTTGAAGCTCCTGCTTCCTCATATTCCACTGTCTACTTGGGGTAGGTTCGGCCAACAGCGGGCATTGGCCTAGCGTCTGTAGGCCCAGTCCTGCTAATTCCTATAGGCCTAATCCACGGCGTTGAGTTATATCAAACAGGTGGTCCTGTCGGGAATGAATAACGTGCTTCCGTTCCCTTCAAGTGGTCAGTGTTATCAATCGGCCCATCGTCTGGCCGGTTCCTCATCCATGGTGTAGAACTATATTCGGCACTTGTTGCTAATGGATTCATGTCACATTGGCCTGGTAGGCCTTCCATATTGGTCTCTCTCATCTCCATGCCTGAAAATTTTATGTCGCCCTCCAGTCGCTGTATCTCCTTCCTCAAACATTCCAATGAATTTTCCATTCCTGGCCATGATTCAATAGAGAAACCATGCGTGTAGGCAAAATGATAAACATTCCTTGTGAGGGTAATCACTCACTGAAATTCGTCAGAATTCCTCTAATAATCCCTTTTCGAGGGTGCGCTCAAAATTCGCAAAATTCGCAAAATTCGTCTGTGTCCTTGCGAGGTTAGTTCACTCGCAATCCTAGGCCCGATAATACTGGTTATTCCTTGTGAGGGTAATCACTCACCAAATCCGTCAAAATCCATCTAGGCCTAAGGCCTAATAATAATACTTGCGAGGGTAGTTCACTCACAAATATTCAATGCTGCCGTCCGTAACCAATGTATCCCACTTCTGACACCAGTGTGGCGGTTTCGGCCAAGCAGTCTCAGTCTAGTCTAAGTCCTGCGTAAGTAAGTCTGTCGGACACGCCGTCAGATAATACGGATCGACTATTGAATAAACTTCAAACAAAATTAAATGAGTTTCTCATAGCATTTATTGGGTCAATAAAACTGGTACCATTATCAACAACAAATACAATGTCGTATGCGGAACACACAGCAGCCGCCGACCGGTTTCCGTTAACACCGAAATTAAACTATAAGTAGGCCTGTCCCTTATTGGGCTCTCAAGTTTTAATGACTGAGTTCGACTATAAGCTATTTTATAGAATTACTACAGGTCCTACCTTACTTAACACTAACGTCGGGATTTCCCAGTTCTAAACTTCATGAGATCCAGAGCTCAACTACTACATGTCTTGGGCGATGGGTCTTAAGATCCCAACGCAGCTATTTTTAGATAGCCAATCGGCTCCCAGCATTGGGGGAGTGGCCTAATCTATTTATAATAGGGGGTGGACTGCACAATTTTGTTACACTATTGTGGCTGAGACATGAGCCGATTAAACGTAGAAAACCTAGAAATACTGTATAGTAAAAACGCTGAATAGTACTCCAGCGTCGCGACATGCGGACGTTGGTACGAGTAGGTTAGTCTACAAACGTCGCCTAAAGTAATTGATTTTACCCGGCAGAACCAAAGAAGGAAACTCCGCTTTTCAGTTGTCTTAGGCCATTTTTCTTTTGACAAATAATGACCTTTCAGAGTTCAAATTGCTGTCAAGAATATAAATTGGCTGCTTCGCAGCAATAAAATTAACCATGAACTGTGTTTCAAACACTTAAACAACTACTCCTAATCGTCTAACAATCTAGGACGTCTTCTCATTCTACTACTTCTTCTTAATGGAAAACTCCACTGCGTATTCACTTCCTTATCTTTATCCAACTCAAAATCCACAAGACAATCCTCTGTAACTGTCTGTGGAGAAGTGCATTTATTCAACTTACTAATATTCCACTTCCTTCCGTCAGACATTTGAAAAGTGTGGTCACTTAACTTTTAAACGAGTTTAAGTATTAAACCCCTTTGGTACAAAAACCCCGGATGTCTAATCTGTACCCAATCTCTAATATCTAATTTGGTGGTTTCAGAATTTCTTTTTCGATCAGTATAAGCCTTGTATTTCCTCTGTTTAACTGATACCCTTTCTCTAACACCCTTAATATTTACACCTGGAAATTTACTTCTGGCAATTTAACTTTGTTTGCATATGTCGACCATGAAGGAGAACGGAGGGGGAAACCCCTGTGGTGGAATGTGCCTTATGGGCCTTATATATTATTCCGAGAAATTGACTCATTGTTATTCTCCATGGTTTACAAGTATGTATGGCATTTTGGACAATATTCTTTAAAACTGAATTAAAACGTTCTACGGCCCCATTTGCCTGTGGGTAATACACAAAAGAAAAACAGTGTTTAATTTCCCTGTCACTCAAGAAAGTTTGAAAATCTCGGGACGTGAATTGAACACCATTATCAGTGACAATTTCTTTTGGGAACCCTTCCCGACTGAAAATATGCTTAAGAAAAGAAATTATCTTATCGGTTGTCACCGTTGGGGGTGAATCCGACCTCCGGCCATTTACTATAATAATCCACAAGCGTTATTGCAAATCAACAATCATGTGGCCCCCTTTCAAATGGACCTACTGTATTCATAGCAAGCTTTTCCCAAGGGTGATCCGGATACGGCACCGGTTTTAATGGAGCATATGCATGTTTAATGGATTTGTCATTATGTTGACAAATAGCACACTCCTTTATTAGTTTCTCAACTTGCACATCCATTAAGGGCCACCAGAATAATTTCCTTAATCTTTGTTTTGTCCTAGTCATGCCCTGGTGGAATACTTGTCCTAGAGTCAGTACCTGCTCAGCCAGGCGGTTTGGGACGACCAATTTATCACCTCTCATTATAACATAACCTGAAATACTCAACTCATCTTTACAGCAATTGAATGGTTTTGCATTCTCATTGAGCTGTTTAAATCTTGGCCACCCACTTGGTATGTATCTTTTTAAGATAACAAAAGCTTCATCCTGTTTACATGCTTCATTAAATACATGTAAGGGAATACTCTTGGACACAGTATCCACCAAAACTTGGCATACGGCATCATAATCATCTTCCAACACTACATTTTCTTTCTCTTCTCTCAATCAATGGACAATCTTGACATTGCATCCGCTATCACATTGTCACATCCCTTAGTATATTCCACATCATAATTGTATCTCTTTAATCTACAATTCCACCGAGCAATCCTCATTGACTGTCGGTCTGTACCCTTAATAAACAAAGTACAGAGTTTAAACTTACGTTCCCACAAATAGACATGCCACTTCTCGCAAGCACATACACACGCAAGTGCCTCTTTCTCACCAACAGAGTAATTACGTTCAGCCTGTGACAGCGTACGAGAAGCACATTCTACTGTGACTTCTTTACCCCCTTTAACTTGATTTAGACAAGCTCCCAACCCAATGTGAGATGCATCAGTTCTAAGAATTACTGGCAAATCTGGATCAAACATTTATAGTTTAGGACTTTCTATTATAATAATTAACTTAATAATATCAAAACTTGATTGACAGCTGTCTGACCATTTACATTTACTGTCATTCCTAAGCAATAAACGTAGTGGTTCCACTATTTGAGCAAAATTTTGTACACACTTAGCAAAATAACCTGCTAGCCCAAGAAAAGCTACGGTCACCTGGGACTAATAGCAATGTGCTTGTCACCGGCTTCGATAACTTCATTGCTAATTTTATGACCCAAAACCTTTATATACGTCTGGTTAAATTTACATTTTTTATTGAGCTTGATACTATGCGAGTCTAACCTGGATAATACCATTTGAAAATTTGCATCATGTTTCCTCTTGGTTTGCCCATACACTATAATATCAACAAGATAACACTGAACCCCTTTTAGACCTGATAAAATCGTATTCATCATTCTATGGAATACCGATGGGGCAGACGATAACCCAAAACATACCCTTTTGTATCTTAACAACCCATCATGAGTTATGAAAGTTGTTAAATGTCTGGATGCCTCATGTAAACTGAGCTGATAGTATGCGGACTCAAGATCGAATTGTGTAAACATTGTAGAATTTCGCAAAAAACCTCATCTGTTTTAGGTAGTGGGAATTTATGTGGGATTATAAATTTGTTTGCTTCCCTTTAGTCTACACATAATCCTATGTTCCCTGGACGTTTCTATGATATCACTACTGGGGAGACCAAATCGGCAGACACTTTATCTCGTAGGGGCCTACTGAGAATGGTAACCGTCTAAGTTTCTGATGTTTGGGTTTAACCCCTTCGTTAACGTTAATTTTATATACAAAGCCTTTAACTGTAGGTAATACCTCCCCAACTAACAATTGGACGTTTTTTGAACGTTCTAAAAGCGTTCCAAGATGGTTCTTCGGACGTTTCATAAAAACGTTTTCTAAATGTTACAAAACCTATAAAAAAAAACCCATTTATGCAATTGCTTTCCAGTCTTGTGGACCTGCAGAAAACCTTTAGACGTTTGGAAGACGTATTGAGAACATTCAGAAAACCTCTTAATAACGTTGAGAAAACCTTTGAAGAACGTTTCGAAAAACCTTATAAAAACATTCAAAAAAATGTTTTAACGTTTAGAAAACTTTTTAAGAACGTTAAGAAAACCTTTTAAGAACATCCAGAAAATCGTTTATGAATGTTCACAAAACTTTTTAAAATGTCCAGAATGTCCTGCAGATGTTTAAAAAAAATGCATTTTAAGAAAGTCCTACAAAGGAACCTCCAACATAGAGTGTATTGAATATAAACGCTAGGTCATGACTCATTCGATTTTTTTTTTTGCATTTTATTAAAGTATCAAACATACTTACAAGATATAAACAAATAGTTATTTGGCGAACCAATATACTGTAACATGGTAAATAATGAGCATACTTAAAACACTGGTTTAGTAAACTAGGGACCAGGGTTTCATTTTTTTTTCTTCAGAATACTTGTCTACTAATTAAAACTACTGAAGAATCTACACATAGCTATTACATTACATTAAGCATTTGTCTAACTGGCAAATATGAATACTCTTATATTTAAGGGTCTATGAATATAAACGGCAAGATATTAATGAATAGTTTCAAATGATCCAACAAAAAGATAAAAGAAAACTATTCATTCTTGATCTTTTGTAAATTGTATATAGAAATGTTTGTGTATAAATGAAGAGTATGTATAAAGATACAGAATGTGGAAATTGTTCTTTATTACAAGAGAATACAAATTTAGTAATGTTATCCAACAAGGATTAGCTTCATCATCCAGTGCAAATTATAATTTCTCAAATGAAAGGAATACAATAATTTACTTCCACCGATATTAGATCTCACAATTTCTATATAGTGTAACAAAAATATATAGTTACTCATGCAGACACTGTCAGGTTTCTAGAAGCAAGTACACAAGTTTAAAACTTTTGTCTTAGATTCCAAGGTGATGAATTGCAGGTGTAGTGTAATTGGGTAACCTAACAGCTCCCACTGACAAACAAAAATAGATATTGAATCGCATTGGAAAGGAGGGTACCATATAACAAAAGCCCTACTTAGTATTAGATTACTCTGATGGAAAATGCTATTCAATCCTCATTGTCAGAACCTCCTACTTCTTTCACATCATTATATACCTCCTCCTTTATGATAGCTTCCTCGTTGATGACATTTTCCTCAGAGACAGCTTTAACTGGAGTGCTGTCAGCGTCACTTTTGGGTTTCTGAAATTTTAAGCAGGCAAACAATATTGCAAATTTAGAAAAAAAAAATGTGCATGCATTTGTAACACAATCTTTTTGTGTGTGTCTGTGGTGGGGGGATGCCTGCCTTCCTTATACATAAAGTATTTCATACTGCCTTTTCGTGATTTCCTCTTTTAGGTTTTGCACAATTTTTTCTTAAAAAAATTAAGGTGATATATGTCTAGGAAAACAAATTAAATTGTATTACAATATTGCACATTGCAGTATTAAATGTACCTTAATAAATGAGGTTTTAAATGTGTTATATCCCCTTGAAATTATTGTATAAGTATGATATGCATAATGTACAGTAGCTAAGATAAGTAAGAGAATAGCCGTTGTTTTTTTTTCAAAAGTGAATTCCTGTCTAGGAAAACGAATTAAATTGTATTAAATGTACCTTAATAAATGAAATTTTAAATGTGTTATATCCCTTCGAAATTAATGTATAAGTATGATATGCATAATGTACAGTAGCTAAGAAGTAAGAGACTAGCATTTTTTTTCAAAATTGAATTATCGGTTTCCATTCCTACAAAACAGTTACAATTTCAATGTCCCTTATAGGCCAAATCAAAGGGTATAAATAGAACAAAAGCGTGTACTCCCGTTTATAGAAACTTCATAGCTGTGTAGAATGCCCGCGTTCATTTTTGTACTGACGTATGCCCGCTATTTACTTGGCAAGTAGAAAAAACAGACATGACAATGGTACAGGACGTGGGTGGACATACAAATGACAGTGGTCATCTTACACTGGCTGCGTACTAGGGCCTATCGTTTGTTTACTCTCTCAATGAGTGGAGTTTGCTCTTTTGCCCTATTTGGCCTAATTACGTACACATTAAATTTTATTACTGATCTCCCTCTAATGAAAGACCGCTCCAATTGAAGACTACTTCTAAATAAAGACCACTTTTCTGTGGTCGCAAATTGACTATGTCTTATTGTTATTATTCTAGAGACCGAAGCTGCTAAAAACCATGAAAATCCCGGTCCCAAAAGTGGTCTTAGATTGGAGGGAGACCTGTATTTAATAACCGTCATCATATAGTAACTACAGTACATATAATTTATTTTAAGCATGTTGCTAACCAGAACCTAGGACCAGTAAACTTAAAACGTAAAGAAAACATTATATTCACCTTGACGAAAGCCGGTAATTTTCTGTTTGTTCAATCAACTGCCACAGACACAGTAAGGCTTCCAAACAATCAAAATACTTCCCTACACCACCACATTTGATTGAGTTTTTAGTAGAGACAATTCTGAAATAAAAGTCACCATTTATATTAATTAATAATTGGTGATTACATACATCAACTCTCAGCAAATAATAATTGCTAGACTAGCCTTTAACCCCACCCCGGTTTAGGCCAAGCCCTACCCCTAAAACACCAACTTTATTTCAATAAAGCATGCACTTGATAGCCTATAATTATATTATAATAATTATGAAAACACGGCCTAATCAACATTCTCATAACTAAACAGGCTATGAGGCAAGGCTGCAGTTTAGCTAGGCCAACAAAGGCCCTATGGCCATATCCCTAAGGCTACGCTAGCATAGCCTATCTATATCCTCACTGAGTATAAATAGCTGGCACAGAGAGAGAACAGTGTGAACTGTCTATGCCTATGACTATGTCTATGTCTATGCAAATTTATGCACAAATATGCCAGGCCTGGCCTAGGCTAGGTCTCTCCAAGTCTTTCTTAATACCACTACTCACTACTGTATCATGCCTACACACATTAACTGAATAATAAAACAAACCTCTTACCTCCATAGTGGATAATACTGCTAAACTACCTTCCAAGAATGTATAAACTGACTTAACTCCATCACCATGAATTCAAAAACACAGTACTCAACTAAAGTGACCAATCAGAATTGAGTGCAATTCGAGACACTTCCTGGTTCTCTAGTAACAGGTTAACTGTCTGATAGATAACATTATTTTTTTGTCATTGTTATATGGATGTGTATGGTAGGGAGAATAAGCTTAGAGAAACAGCAGTCCCCGTCGGGTAGCGCCCCACCCCCACCCCCACCTCTCTCGTCAGGGAGAAAACAGCAGTTTGTTTAAGATAAACAAATATGTATTCTCTAGATAGGCAAATTCTAAATATAAAATCGATTAAATAAGTTCATTGAGATAGACTAATGGCCCTGTTGGGTAGAATATAAAATTCTGTTTGAATTGTACCCCTCAACGGTGTTTGTAGGCCTATCATTATATCGTTTATTGTTGTCGTTTGGTGGTGCTAGCATGTAAAAGCTGAAGCATGTAGCTGAACGTCATTAAAAGACCTTTGCGGCACAATTATTGTAGTCAAAACTTCGACGTTCTGTAAACGTTTTGTGACCGTTTATTAAAGACGAAGACGTAGCGGACTTATTAAAACGTTTTGTGACCGTTTATTGAAGACGAAGACGTAGAGGACCTCAATAAAACAGATTGTAAACGTTTAATAAAGTCGAAGACCTAGAGGACCTCAAATCTTTTATCAAATGTTGTTGTCTCATCAATTCATCCCAGTCACATCTATCGTTTGTATCGAACATTACTATCCATTTTATTTGCCTTCTAACATGTTTAGATATAGCAGTATAACTCTGTGTTAGCACCCATAAACGTTGTCCGTAGTGACAACCGGTAAAGCCTAGCTTGCTTAGCATAGATCTTCTCTTTGCAATATCGTGGCGTGGAGTGGCGCTTCAGTCGTCGATTATAAACAATGTATTTCACATACCTTTCTTTGTATTGATTTTAAAATAAATTAGCATATAGACATTCTTTCCGCTGTCACTTTGCCCGACTATTAGAGCAGAGAGAGCTTTCATCGGATAGTCAATCATTCTTTTTTAATACTTAATTTTTCCAAATTCTTTACCTGCAATAACCAGCTAGGCATCCATCACCAAGAATACGTGACATTCGAGTTTTGCACTCATTGTTTCACCAGTTCTCGATAATTTTCATTTTCTTCAGAGATAAAGTGCTTTTTAGCTTCGTAATACTGCATCCCGGGTGTCAGGCCATCCGTGTTTTCGTAAAAATTGCCGAGGTACTCCGTTAAGTTTCAAGACGTAGGATGTAATTTTCAGATTAACAAATGTCTGATGGTCGTGTCCATAACCTGTGACTGGATCCCTAAAAAGCATTAGTACACCTTTAAGAGATTCGCAATGCGTTATTGCGAGGATATTTCACAAAGTATCTTGCTTGTTGAAATTGTATTGGGTATAATGCAGGACTCTATCAAATAGGATGGATTGCCTACTGGTAATATGTCTGTGAATCGTATCTGCCTGTTTAGGTTTTGTCAGCATTTCGGCTTCTAATTTTATGTTTGTTATCTTAAAGGTTGGATTTTTCCTACCCCATTTAAAACCTCGGGTGCAGGGGCCAGAGTGATTTCAAAAGGATAACTGGTCGGTTAGGCTGTGCTGAAAATAGAGTATGTTATCCTTACCCAACAATTCAAATGTGTGTAGAGGAATAGGAAACTTATTTACAAACGCATCAGCCATAGCATTTGTCGTTTGCAACAGAGGAATCTTTGTCATCTGCATTGCACCTTACCTTTCTGATATTTGTTTAACAGACATCCTGATTTACCAACTCGTCGGAACTCTCAAAGGGGCTCAACCATTTTTGCTTAAAACAGCTGTACATATTCCAATTGCTGACATTGAGAATTTCTTTACCTCCCAATTTGATCACCATCAAAACGTGGTTTACTACGTTCCAATTCATTGCATTTGCTACCTTTGACGTCGTACTAACTTCGATATTGAAGCTCAGGGTTGCGGTACTGGGTACTATACAGTCGTGGTTATTTAGCATAGGCATCCTGGCTGTAAACATTATTCCCGGATAAACTTCACTTACCGAAGTGATTGGAATACTAATAGAGCTTCTTCTTCCTGCAAGTCCTGGTTGGCCCCTTCCTGTATATCTGTGAATCTTTCTAGGTTTATATTCGTATTCGATACTCATCATACTTGTTTTTATTATTGTTAATAAAATAAATATTAAAAATGAACTTTGAAAATATATATCCAATATATGATGATCGAGAAGATTTATTTGAAGATCCTGAAGATTTTGACTTGTTAGGACCCTGAAATGTTATTCATTATATATTTTACTATAATGAATAAATTGTTTAAGTCAGAAGCTTATCTTCGTCTAGTTCAATTTCTTGCTTGGGTTTAAGCTTGCAGCCTACTGCGATTATTTTCATTTGGTGAAACTTTTTACCAAGAGTCAATGTAGATCCCCTTCACCTGAATGTTTGCAAATATTTTGTACATTCTTTTATTGGCTAGAGGTTCTTTGAAGTGGACCTTGACGTCATTGTTTAAGTTTAACCCAGGCCATCCAACTGTCCCTTAATTTAGAATGTACTTGCTAGTTTCCTCGTAAAAACGTTGGTCGATTATACCAAACTTATAAGGTCGTCCGGGTGATCGATTATACCAAACGAGGAAGAAGAGTTTTGGTTCACAGCATAAATTGCATCCGATTTACTAGTCTTTAAAATATATGGTTTATTATCTTTGTAAATTGTTTGGTAGCTGTATTTTTCGTATTTCTTTGCTTCACTAATATATACTTTTTTTTTTTAATTATTTTTTCAATTTTCTTTAAGCCAATTTCAAACATAAGGTTATCGTAAACAACTTACCCATATTTTCAACCTCGTTACCTTCTTCATCATATATCCTAAAGGTGAGGGAGGTTATCGTAATTTTTTATAATCCTCGAGGTAGTATCGGCTCACTTTAACGAAATCCGCAAGATTTTCCCGCTTGGTTAAAGGTACTGTACAACGCATAGCAAATCACTTTTGTTTTCATTTAAAACGTTTTCGTGGGTGCTTAATTCGTCTAAGTGTATAAATAATTCACCATCTCATTTTGTTTTAGCCTGAGTCTACCTTCAAAACCTACAAATTTCGCGAAGACTTCGTGTACGACTTGTACGACCAGGTTAAACTCATCGCCACCAGAATTTATTTGATCCGTTGCTATTATCACCGTACCACGATCCTCGTCGTATTCAACATTACTGAGATTTAAATCTCTTTTATTAGCGTTAAGCCTTTTGACAACTTTATCCGTCAAAAATCCCGAATTAAAAGAAACTCCAGACCCATGCGGCGCCCAATCGACGTTGGGGTTTCTTCTCGTCACGGCAAATATGGCGGTGTTTGTCAGATTGTTGTAACGAACTTTTCTATAATTGCCTTTGCAAAAAATGCTTGCGGTACCATCTTAGTATAGTGAAAAACAGGGCCCCTTGACCATTTTTCGGGAACCAAGGTTTCTCTGCTGATTTGCCATCACTAGGGTATAAATAAAAAAGCGGGGGTGAGCCACCAGAAAAAGGGCGGAACATGTTTTTTGGCGGCCAAAATTAAGACAATGGCTCATAACTTTACTTCTACTAGATAAAAAAGGTAAATCTGGTGTCTAACTATATGTTATTAGGGTCAATGAATTCAATGAGACATGTTTAAAAAACCTAGGATGGCAGCCATTTTGAAATTTAAGATGGCTGCCATATACTTTTCAAAAAATGAAATATTTCAGTAAAATTCCACATCTCTATGAAAATGGTAAATGTTGGTCTAATCATATGTGTTTAGTCTCTCTGAGTTAAACAAACATAGTTTCAAAAGCTAGGATGGCAGCCATTTTGAAATTCAAGATGGCCGCCACAAAACCGTCGAAAATCAAGATATTTTGGTATGTAATTTTACTTCTCTTTAATCAGAAATGGTAAATTTGGTGTCTATTCATATTAAATTGTGCTCTCCGAGTTTATATAAATATGGTTTCAAAAGCTAGGATAGCAGCCATTTTGAAATTCAAAATGGCCGCCACAAAAACCATTGAAAATATAATATTTTGGTATGCAATTCCACTTCTCAATCAAAAATGATAGATTTGGTGTCTAATCATATGTTATTATGCACCATGAATCCAATAAAACATTTCAAAAAGCAAGGATGGTAGCCATTTTGAAATTCAAGATGGCCACCACAAAAATCTTTGAATATCAAATATTTTTTTTATATTTTTACTTCTCTTCAATCAAAAATGGTAAATTTGGTGTCCAATCATATTTTGTTATGCTCTATGAGTCCAATAAACATGGTTTCAAAAAAGCAAGGATGGCAGCCATTTTGAAATTAAAGATGGCGGCCACAAAATCACTGAAAATCAAGTATTTTGTTTTTACAATTCCACTTAATCGAAAATTGCAACAAATTTAGTGTCTACTAATATGTTATTGTGCACTCCTAAAGTTTAATAAAACATGGTTTTCAAAAGTTAAGGATGGCAGCCAATTTTAAATTCAAGATGGCCACCAAAAAAAAAATCGTTGAAAATAAAATATTTGTTTTCTAAAAACACTTCTCGATTTTGTGGACACTTTGAGTCCATTAAATAACAAAATAATTATTTCAAAAAGCTTGGGTGACAGGCATACTAATTTCTAATTTCCAATATATCAGCCATTATTATGTACACATTTGGCTTATAAATGCAAAATGTGACAATTTTCAGAAGTGAATAGTACTATTTATACCATACAATAAAAATGTCTTTGTTAGATAAACAAAGAGACAAAACGTAACTATGAAAAGTATTACTATTCGCTTATTACAACTCTGAAACTTACTGGAATAATTCAAAATGATTAACACAATACGTTAATACTTCATTATTCTCGTCATCAGAAGACGAATGCTCATTTTCATCACTCTCTCATCACTCTACTATCGTTATCAATTTGTTCTGCCAGTATAATGCCTCTTAGTTGATTTGGCTCAGTGTTTCTCT